CCACCCTTCTGCCTGAGCCAGACCTCAGCACCAAAGACTCCTCACTCACCTGCTCCATTCAACACCCCAACAAGCCCCCAGCCTTCCCTTAACTTGCCTGGCTCTCATTTCATGACTGCCTCCTCATAGCTGTGCATTTGCCACGTAAGTCTTGGTGGGCACCCTTAATACTGTGCCTGTGAGTCTGGGCCTTGCCATCTCTGTTCCCCACCCCATGGCACTGCAGACACGAGCTCTCCAAGTGCAAGGGACCTGTGAGGCTTGCAATGCTGCAGACCCTTTTGAAACCTTGGTTGAATGAATGCAGAGTCCAGCCATGGTTGGGGTTTACCACCCTCAGAGCCTCCCAGATGGTCAGGACCCACTAGTGTCAGGGGCCTGGGGATACTCAAGGATCAGTGCCAGAACAGGGCAGCCTGGCCTTTTTGAAGTGTACTTTTGGGGACCCAGACTGGGGGTGCAGGATGGGTCAGCCTGGAGCTGAAATGGCAAGAATAGAAGCTGGGCTGGTGTCTGGTGAGGCCAGGAGTGATAAGAACCCCCCCCCCCTTTTCACGGAAGGATGAGCCATTCAGGGTCCTTCAGGGTAATGCAGGACCCTATGAGCCCTCTGGATGGATGCTGGTATCTCCACCTTACCACATCTATCTAGAAAGATGTGCTTTGGGGCTTGGATTGGGCAATAGAGCAGGTGTCCCTAAAAACTCCAGAAAGACTTTGGTCCTCTGCATAGTTTGGGCTTCAGAAACTTCCTAGAGTTGAGGGAGATGTTGGAGCACTCTCTCTTCCCTGGGAAGGTTCTCTCACAAGGGTTCCTGGGACCAGCAACAATTCCTTCTGAGAGACAGCAATAATTAATTCATCATACAGATGAGGCAGTTTAATCAGGGAAAAGAGGAACTTTCCTGGACTACCCAGGGATTGCTGATGGCTGAGTCCAAGAGCCCAAGCCTGGGCGGTGGAGTTGCCTGTGTGGCGGGATCTGCTAGGGAAATTCTGCCTTCAGCCCCCGTACCACCCTGGGGCAGTCATAGGCTACTCCAAATTTCCTGGGAACACCTGGCAGGAGTTTCCATTTACAGCTGACCTGAGGGGGACGGGTATGCTCTGTCCAACCCCACTTCTGGCCCAGTCAGGTGGCTTCCTGACTTTCTGATCAGGAACAGAATAGGTTCAAATCCTGGCTCTATTGTCATTTATGGTGTGAACTGGGCTGCATAAGGATCTCCCAGATCTCTGACCTGCTGTGAGGACAAGGGGCTACAAGTATAAAGAAAGCTCAGATCATCTGAGATGTCCACGTGAACATCCCAGGAGGCCCATTTCCTTCCCCCATGATAACTTCCTCTTGCGATAAGGATCCCCGGGTGGCTTCCAGCCCCCGGTTCTTCCAGAGCCTGTGGGGAGGGATACGCATAGGAAACTCCTTCCAAAGGTTCTCTTCTGGCCGTCTGAGCAGGGTTCCAAGAGGGATCGCACCACCGCCTCTGCTCCACCGCAGCCCCATCGGGGCCCCTGAGTCAGCACAGTCAGCCTGATGCTATCTCTTGCCACTTCTTTCCATGTGTGCAATCTAGGAATGCCTGCCTCTGTCATGGCCTCAGTCCTGATGTCATCTTTCCAGAAGAAAGATGTGTGGCTGCCCACAAACCTCATCCCCAAGCCCCTGGATCTCTGTCCTGCTCAGGCTGACTTTGGCACCCACAGGCCACACTGCTGGCACGGGTCTGTCCTTGTGGCTCCTGATTTCCTTCCTTGCTGGCCTTCCCCAGGCTCTTGGCCACTGGCCCGTCACTTGCCCTCACCCCTTAATTACAGCTGCTCTGGCCCTCAGCCCTTCTTCTTAAGTAAACCTCATGACCTCAGCTATCATGTGAACTTGGACTTCTCCCAAATCTGTGTCCTGTGCACATAGCCTCGGAAGCCCTAAACCTTCCTGTGGACCTTTGGACCTTGAGGACCTGCCCCTTTGTCCTCTGGGTACCCATCCTAGTCACCTAGACAGTGATTCCAACTCTTCTTGCTAACATTCAAAAGCACACTTTGGGACATGGGGTGGGGCAGGCAAGTAGATTAATTTTGTTTTCCTATCAGTGGAGTTACTAAGACCACGAAGGCAAGACCTTGACCATTTCCCGTCATCTTAACATCTCCCTTTCTTGCCAGGCACCATTGGTGTGCTTCTCCTGGAGGGTCAGGTAGGGCTGTGGCACATAGAGAAGGGAAGCAGTCTCCTGTGGTTCTATCCAAAGTGGCTTATATAGAATCAAGACAAACCAGCTGGGTGCAATGGTGCACACCTGTAATTCCAGAGGCTTGGGAGGCTGAGGCAGGCGGATTACAAGCTTAGAAGCCAGCTTCAGCAACTTAGTGAGATCCTGAGCAACTTAGAAAGACCCTGACTCAAAATAAAAAATAAAAAGGACTGGGGATGTGGCTTAGTGGTTAAACACCCCTGGGTTCAATCTAAAGTATAAAAAAAATTTAAAAAAAAACTAAAAGTATAAAAAAATTTAAAAAAAAACTAAAAGTATAAAAAAATTTTTAAAAAAACTAAAACAAAAACAAATTTCCTTTCTTGCTGAGAACCTAGTAGGTGCTCAATAAATATCGAACAAATGAGTCTACTACATCACCAAGATTCTACCTCCTAAGTCTCTCTAGAACCTATCTTCTCTACCATATCTGCTACGAAACCCCCAGGCCCCTTGATGCCAGTACACTCTCCCCCATCTCCTCTTCCCCATCTCTCCCACAACCCAACCTGTCCACCTGATTTCTATTTGCCCACTTAACCCTTACTGGGAGGCAGCCTCCAAGGAAGCTCTCCAATTCTCTTGGACCCCCAACCTGAGGAAGGTGAATCTGAACTTTTCCTAAAACTGAAAGTCTCAAGAGCCAGACGTGAGGGCCAGTGGGAGGGTCGCAGGTATCCCTCCTCCAGCACAGGGACTGGCTACATAGGAGAGGCTTGTTGCCCTTCTGAGCTGTTAACCACTCATTTCTAGGAGGAAAGTGACCTTCTATCCTAGAAGGGCCACACCAGCTCTTTGCCTCCCTGGCTGCTACCCCCTTAGCCACTGTGTGTGACTACCTCTCAGCTCCCAGCCTCCAGGCCTATGTGACTCAGACCCCCAATGTGTGTTTATCTCCATCTCTGCTCATCCCCTCTCCTGCGCTCGGAGAACCCCCGTGGAAGGAGCTGAGCAAAGGATTGGTGGGAAAAGTGGAGGAAGTTCCAGCACCTGGACATGTCACCCTCCTAGCCCCAGTCTGGCCACCTGGGAATGTTCCATCAGGTTCCGAAGGGTAAGACTAGCCTCATGGTGGGCCCCAGATCCTGTCAGGGACCCCAGTGGGGCCTGTAAGATGAAGGCCTGGCTTGCCTTGGCAAGGGCACCAAAATCCCCACCACATGGTGCAACTTGCTGAGGCCACAGACTCTGACCAGAATGGTCAGGCCATGAGGTCTACCTGCTGTCTGAGGACTTGGCCTTCTGAGTCCAGCAGAATGCCCTTGTTTGTGTCTGACCTCACACTCTGTGGCCCAGAAACATGATGCCCAGCATGGAGAGTGTTTCCCATGAGGACCTAGAGACTTCTCGCAAAGCAGGTAACAGGGAGCAGGCTCACACAGATGCACCCTTATATATCTTCCCCTCCAAGATGCACTTATGAGTACAGACCAACACACTCACTCTCACTGCATGTGACACACACACACACACACATACACACACACACAGAAATGGAGGTGTGTGGACCCACAGTCCTACAGCCAGCATGGGCAGCTTGAGCCGGATCCCTTGTGTAAACACCAACTTATGCTGTTTTCTCTAAACTCATTGTGAAAATCAAACACTTGTCAGCCCCTCAAGAGCCTGTAGTTTTTCCATAAGTAGTTCCTGCTCCCACCTAAGGCCTCTGGAGCTGTAGGTGGGCTGCAGTTGGTACCATGTAGGAAATGAAGCCTGAACGACCTTACCAGAGGAGCCGTGGGCCCTGGGCCTCGTACACAACTCTACATGATGGAGCCCCCAAGGCTCCTGGTGCTGCTGGGGCTGCAGGTGGTGGTGGCGTGCCCACCTCAAAGGGCCTCATTGCCCTATAGCCAGGAGTCAAACTCAGAGCCCGAGGGGCTTGTTGCCTATCTGAGCTGTTACAACTCATTTCTAGAAGGAAAGTGACCTTCTATCCCAGAGGGTCCACACCAGCTCTGTAGCTTTAGGCTTGTATCTGTTGTGTAAACGAGGACTGCAGCTGTCAGCTGGGGTCTTACCATGAAAGAGCATGCTACCGTCTTGCCAGACTAATGCACATGGTTGTCCTTCCCTCTGCTCACAGGGACAGAGGTCTTTGGCTGGACTGAGCTTGCCAACTCCCGTGGGTGCTTGGGAGGAGCCTATGTGAGCCATCACAGGACTGTGTTTGGCTGAACTCTAGTGGACAGGGGAGAGGCCTGTGAGAAATCCCCTTTCACTGGTGTCTTATGGTGACTAGAGGAGAAGGCCAGAAGGATAAGGGGAAAACGGGCTGGGTGGGCCACCAGGGTGGGTACAGCTTACTCAAAGTTCTCCTGGGAGAACAGGCGGGATGGAGAGCCTGGGAGTAGGAGTCCTATCTAGTGTCTCCTAAGCCCCGCCCTGGCCACTCCAGGCCAGGAAGTCCAACTTGTGCCCAGAGGCTCCTCAAAAGGAGGGGGCAGCCTAAGGCTGGGTCAGACTGCCCAGGGCTGGAGAGCACTCAAGGAGGTGGGCAGGTGGGCTGTTCGTTCTTGGAAGGGCTCATGAATGAAAACCCCTAAGCCTGACCACCTGGGGAAAAGGCTCACCTTTCCCATGTGTGGCTGATAAGGGCCAGGAGATTCCACAGTTCAGGTAGTTCCCCCGCCTCCCTGGCGTTTTGTGGTCACCATTAATCATTTCCTCTAACTGTGTATATAAGAGCTCTTTTGCCAGTGAGCCCTGTACTCAGAGAGAAAGGCTAAAGTCCTCAGGAGGATGTGGCTGCAGAAACTAATTCTACTGGGCACTGTGGTTTATAGCATCTCTGCACCCATCGGCCCTCCTGGCCCTGTCCCCCAGCCCAGGAAGTATGTGGATGCCATCATCAAGGAAGCCCTGAGCCTTCTGAACCACAGTAATGACACCGGTGCTGAGATGGTGAGTGAGGGAGAAGGGGCAGGCTGTACCTGGGCCACGCTGCTGGCTCTGAACTGGTTTGCACTGTCAGGAGCTGCTTTGATAGTATCAATAACATGACATTTTCCTTTCTACAGAATGAAACAGAAGTCGTCTCTAACGTGTTTGACCCTACGGTAAGATGCTTCTTTCTGCTATACCCTTTCAGGGGCTCCTGACCTGGGGGCTCCATTTTAGATGGACCCTCACATGTGTCCACAGGAGGAGGGGCAGCATCGGGCACTCAAGAGACCACTGGCCTTGCATTGAACCTGATCATGTGGGTTCTGTGTCAGCTGAGCAGCTATGGGGAGACCTAGCATTCAAAGGCTCATGGGGGCCTGGGTGGGGGGAATCAGGAGGGAAAGTGGGGATTACCTCATGAGACAGGACTGCAGACTTGGGGCATTAACTGTACCCTGAGACCAAGCCCTGTGAAATCAGGGTGCCGACTGCCAAAGGAATGGCACTTGCTCATGTGGCAGGTCTGGGCCATGTCTCACGGCTCCCCACCCCTTCTCTGTGGATGGTGGGGTGAGAGTGGCCTTCTTTCCTGGGGGTGGGACTCTCTCGAAGTGTCAGGCTAAGAGAACGTGGCTGTGCCACTAAGGCACTGAATGTCCACAGTGGACAGGGCAGTGTGTATGACTGGACTCCGCTTGAGATTAGTTGGGGATCATTCTGTGCCCCCTTTGAGGCCCTTCTCCTGGGTGCAAGGGATGGGAACATGAAGGAGTGATGGGGAGGGCAGCCTGTGCCCATGACTGGCACTTGGTCTCTGCTCACGGAGGAACGAACACTTTCCCCAGGAGCCAACATGCCTGCAGACCCGCCTGAAGCTGTACGAGCAGGGCCTGCCGGGCAGCTCCACCACGCTGAAGAGCCTCTTGAGCACGATGGCGAGCCACTACAAGGAGTACTGCCCTCCCACCCCAGTAAGTGCCCACATCAGGGCCCCAGGCAGGAGGGTGGGGTCAGGGTATGGAGAGACCTCAGGCTGTGGCTGTTCAGCACCCCTAAAGTTTTCTGCATTGACAGACAGGTCATGATGAGGCCCTGTAGCACGGGAACTGCTATTCCCTTTTCATCCTTAGGAGTTAAAAACACAGAACTCTGAAGCCCATGGTACCCCCCTAGCAGCAGCTGCCGTGCTTCTTATTATCGAAGTCATTAGGAATGAGGTCAGAGGTGAGGCAAACCCAAGGAAACTCAGGGCCTGCTCAAAGTCCAGAGGAAATGCCAGGGCCCAAGTGCTCCTCCTGACAGGACTTTCCCATGACCCCACGTGGATTGCATGGATTGCATGGAAGGAGGGGGCCTGTCAGGAGAGGACAAGGCCCCAAATACTGGTCTCTTCCCACAGGAAGGGAGTGAGGTCTATGGTCTTGATCCCCGTTCCTTACACGTGCTGGGAGATGGCCTCCACGTGGCCATTCTGCTCTGGCCTGGGGTCAAAGAAACAGTCTGACTATTCAGAAGACTGGCTCAGGCTGGCACTTTGTCAGGGCCCTGGCACCAGCTGCTGTTGGCAGAGCTGTGCACCCCTTGGGTAGCACATGGGTGGCAAGGTGTCACCCGATCCCCGGCAGAATGGGCCTCCTGGCCTGACTTCTTAGAGGCAATCCAAAAATATGCTGCTGTTTCCCCATATTACACACTCACCTGTACTCAAGTGTTTTTTATTTTCATTTTTCTTAAGGAAACTTCCTGCAAGACCCATTTTATCACCTTCAAAAGTTTCAAAGTGGACCTGAAGAAATTTCTGGCTGACATCTCCTCTAGCTGCTGAAACCAAGTCCAGAAGTGAGGGCCAGCCAGGCTATCAGGCCATTCCCGGGACCTAACCTCATACATCTCGGCTCTCTCACCCAGAAAGAGCCAGAAACTCAGGATCTTCGTCTTATAGGGACCAAGCGGGTGGGCCACAGACACAATGGGGATGGCCCGGACCTGCCCTGGGCCATGCTGACCCTGATATGGGCATGGTAGAGGAGTGTGGGTGATTTTATACTGGTGGGGACTAATACTATTTATTTATATATTTATACTTTTAAAATATTTATTTATTTATTTAAACTCCTATATTTATTAAAGATGTTTTATCATCGTAATAAATTATTGAATGTCTGCTTTTATTTACACAGTTTTCTGGTGTCTTTTCAGGAGGGGAGGAAGCTGGCAGGTGGGGGAAGGGATGGGGAGGTGCGGGGGTTGGGGCACGGTGTCATGGCAAAGCTGCTGTGCCCAAGGGAGGTGGGATCTGAGTGCAGCATTGTGTACACCTGGGTGTACTCCCCTGGATGCTCAAGGGCTGCCACCCCAGAGAAAAGATTTAGGTTCACTTGGAAATCAAAGCAACTAGCTTGTGGCTAGGGGAAGCTTGCCCCAGAGAAAGGGCATGCTCCCTCCTGGGGAGGTCTGGGTGCTGCTGGGGGTTGACTGGTCACTGTCTGAATAGGTTCACCCTGGTGTCAGGCAAAACACCCATGCCCCTTGGAGGCCTTGGACCTGGTGCCCCACGCCCTGCCCTCACTCTCAGGGCTTCAACAACTCTTAAAGTAAATCAGCAAATAGACCAACTGTTCATGGAAAAAGAAACCAAACCACAGGGGTCAGAGCTCAGCATATTTACCAAACTCACCCCAAATTGGGTGATCTTAATCTTTAAGAGTCAGAATGTGAAGTTCATAGTGTGTTGAACATGGCTCTTGTGTAGCATTTTTCTAAATTAGTTTTTACTTTCACATAAAGTTTACAGTTACTATCTCTTAAAATCTATGGCCTTTAGGCTGAGAGAAAAGCAGTCCTCCTCCTTCTCCTTGCTTTGCCAGCCAGGCCGAGTACCTTGTCCCTGTACCTAGTTTCTTGTGTCCCTTGGGTGTGGGGACAGTGAGGAAGTGAGAGTGTGTCTCCACTCAGGTGGGCAGCAGGGCCAGCCTTGTCCTTGGAGGTGGGCCTGGGGAAGATGGCTTGCTGTGGCTTCAGCTCTGCAGACACTTGACTCAACAGTTAAAAATACGCTTAATGTTGTTTAAGAGAAAAACAAAACTATAATGGTTTGCCAAGGGTTGGAGAAAGGAGGGAAGGAGACTGCTAATGGGCATGAGATTTCTTTGGGGGTTAATGAAAATATTTTGGAATTAGACGGTGATGATGTACCTGCAGACAGCACCAGTCCTGGCCAGACACCTGTCTCACATGCAGACAGAAAGGTCACAACCCCAGATGTGATTACAAATAATAAGTCTTAGACCAAAACTGAATTTCAGCAAAGAGAAGAACCAATGAAGTGTGCTATGATTATTAAAAATGCATGAAAAGCACATCTTGTCCAGCGATAAACTCCTCTCTGTCTTCCTCAGAAGCCACTGATGACTGATAAGAGGTTTGCATTTCCTTAGACTCACATATATAGGTACCCCTTCCTGCAGACATGCTGCCCAGCCCTGGTTCAGGTCTGCTGGGAGCTACCTTCAAGGAGTACCATGTACCTGTATGTGCTACTGGCTTGTGTGCTCTGGGGGTCACAAAGTCATTCTTCCCCAATGAAGTTAGCCACTGAGACTTCCCACAAAAATCACACGGCACTCTGTGCTGAGATTCAGAAAGAACTTTCTGCTGACAACAATATATATGAGGTAAGCCTGGGTCTTCATCAAATTAATTTGCTCTCATGGAGCTTTGTGTTTCTGACCAACTTCTCTTGCTTTCAGGGTTCCTTCAGTAGGCCCCAGAATACCAGTGAGGTAAGGAGTGTCTACTCTTTGGACCTTTCTGACCACATTTGAACCCAGAGAGAGGGATTGCTTGAGTTGGCACACCGGGTAGAGATAAGAACCAGGGATGCTGGAGATGTTGAAAATTAAAAAACAGAACCTCCAGCTCAGCCAAAGGATGAACCAGTGGCCAGGTCCTGGACTTTGCCAGGCTCTCTGGCCAGTGTCCCAACTTAGCCCTGGCCCAGTGGCAGAGGCAGAGAATGGGCATAAGACACTAATTGACTCTACTGCAGGGCCCACAGGTCTCTTGTGGGAGTCAGGGTAGGACCTGAGCTTAAGTCCCAGGCTCTGTTAGGCCAGGGTGACCAAGGATGGATGAGTTGGGGAGGTAGCTGGTGCTCTGCTGTGTACTCCCCACCCGAGTGCACCCCAACTTTATTTCAGGAGCTCTGCTATGGGGAGTTTACGAAGAACTTCACCTCCACCCTGAAGGATCTTGCTGCAAAATATAAGCATCAGGATTGTCACCTAATAAAGGTTTATAAGGACATGGAGGAGCTCACCAAAATCTGCCCCAAACTGGAAGTAAGTTGCTGTTTACTTTTAGGGGAACCCAAGACTTCATTTTCCTGCAGGAGCCCAGTGGGCAAAGGTCTTATGGACAACACTTGCCATCCTCAGCTGCTATCTTGAGCCATATAGTAGCTCTTCTTTGGGCTGCCTCAGAGCTGACACTCACTGACAGGGTGGAGGGTGGGGAGTGGGAGGTGAGGCGTGAGGGAGTGTGAAGTTAAAGGGATTCCTGGGGTTTCTGTGTCCTCTCCAAGGCCCTCCTCCCCCACAGAGGTCAGTGTAGGGCAGGTCTGAGACAACTCAGCCCAGGGAGTGGGAAGGGCCTCTCCGTGCTGACTCCAGTTGGTAGCCAGTCCACATTTCTTTCAATTGGCCCCACCCTTGGGACCTCTTCTGGCTGAGGGAGTCAGTGATGGAGGGATGAGCTGTAGTTTAGGGGCCATGTCTGGAAAAATGACAGGGCTGTTCTCTCTCTGTTTGTGTGGCCCCCTGTGTACTCCCATCCTTCTTGTCTTCATGACCTTGTCCTGGATAGCCATGACACAATAGCTGTCACCCTGTTGTCTCTTTTCCCATGACTGCAAATGGTCCTTAGACTCTGCCATCACCAGGCAGGCAGCCCCCACCCCTGTCCTCCCTCAGACAGACAGGGAGTGTATGCCTAAGTTACCCTGTAGGTGTTGGGGGCTCACAAGACCCTCATGGCTGGGAGGACAGAAATTCACTTTTATTTTATTCTTCATTGTTGTTGTTCTGCTAAGAAGATGACTTAAACATGTGTTTCTTATTTAGCCAACAGACACGCCCAAGGACTGTACGATTGAGCAAAGTGATTTCTCCCAGTTCAAGGAAGCCTTAGAGAGTGTTATCATATCCATAGAAGGATGGAAATCGTGTCAGAGGATGGATGGAGACCTTTGGCACTTCGTCTTCTCCTGGGGTTAGAGCTGTAGGAACAGGACTGGAGGAAATAATGGAAATAATTTACTATAGAGGTGGGGAGGGAATCTGCTGGCCCTGGGCTGGCAGACAAGTCTGTGGGTGGATGATGGGGAGGGGGGGATCCTGGGGACACTTGTCTGTAACTGATGCATTAGTTAGCGCCTGCTGCTTCAATAAAGCCTGGGTGTGGAAATGCTAGAGAGTGAGAGTCATGACAGAGGCCATCCTTGCTCAGCCCCTGGACTAGAAGGGACTGGGAGTAGCCCTGTCACCAGTTCGTGACTTGGACGCCCTCTGGCCCTCGATGGAGCAGGAGGAACCCCGCCTCATCTTTCCCTTCATGCATCTCCAGGGCCAGTGGGGGCCCCCAAACCTCAGATCCATTTGGCAAGGAGACATCTAATCTCAAGTAAACCCACTCACCTGGCCTCCAGAGCCCCTTCCAACAACTTCTGGGGTCTCTGTGGCATGACAGCCCTTTCCTGATGGGTAACACTTTCACTCCTCCAGAGCACTGGGCCCCACCTGGGGCAAATCCACTAGTTGCTCATGTCCTAAGTGCTGCCAGAGAGGGCTCAAGTTCTGATCCCCACTATTAATTCTAACCCTAACTCTAATCGTTTGAATAGTTTATTGGGAGTGCTTGAGATGACCCCACAATCCAAACACCTTTATACTATCCTAATTTCTCAGATGATGAGCTTCTTCAAAAAACCAGGATAGACGAAGATCAATTTACTATGGAATATAATTAGGTATCCTGTTGTTACCACAATTTGGTTCAGGCCAGACCTGCAGGGAGTCTGCAATGTCTGCCCATTGACAGATCCTTCCTGACTGTAAAGCTTTGAACTGTGCCTGCAGAAAGCATGCAGGTCAACCACATACCCACCCACCCCAGTCCTTGCTCTAGGATCCCCAAGCCAGCCCAGCTCATCTCTACCTTGAGGGTTCGCATCAGGCTGGAGCCTAGCAAGCGTGACTGAGCAAAGTTGCCTGATTTCCTCCGAACACGTCAGGGAGCCCTGTGGTTCTGGGGCTGGTACAGGGCCAGGGGCCGACAGTAGTTTCAGCCTAGATAAAGCAAAGGGCCTAGTCACCAAAGGCTATGGGGCTTCTGCCTCCAGATGTACCTCATGGATGCTCAGGATTTCTAAGGCCACTCCTTTGTGACTGACCGTGGAATGGGCAGGCTGAACAGCTGGACAAGGTACCGGGATACTCTGGCAGGTAGAGCCACCCCATCACAGTCCTAGCCTCCCATTAGCTGGCATGAGGACCCCCTCACCTTGAGCTCCCGATGAGACTTGAGACAGTAGAGGGTTGGGAACTTGCACGTAGGTCCTTATTACCTTATTGTCGCGACCAGGACAGCAGGTGTGCATGAGACTGGCAAGAGCCAGGCTGCTTCTTTCAGCATATGTAGCGGAAAGGGGTATGTCTGCTTCCCCCTGGAAGACAGGGCAACTCTTGAATTGGACCTGGAGAGTGCAAGGGGCTATCCAGGTATCCTCAGCTTCATATGTTAATGTCCGGGGCACAGAGACATAGGTGGGTGTGGCTACCAGGCTACCCATCTGGCCTGTGCCACACCCAAGACTGGAAATCAGGTATGCTGTATTCCTGCACCCTACTGCTCTAGTTTCCTTGCTACCTGCGCATGTGTGTGCTTAGTGATTTA